TCTGGCTTGTCGATTTGAGTTTAGTAGTCAATTATGCGCAATTGTGAAGTTTGGCAGATGTTTTTACATATGTTTGATAAAACGCAGATATTGTTTGATTTTCATTCTCGAATATTTGAAAACGGTAAAAGACCTGCAGAATGAACATCAGGAACGGCATTTCAAAATCTTCCACCCAACTTTAAAGCTAAAATAAAGGATACCAATCATAAAACTTGATCATAAAAACAGCTTTCAATTTGTGCATCATGTACAAATTAGGATAATTTTTCCTCACTATAATAGCAAGTATGAACTAATTTGGCATGAGCGCACAATGTAACAATTTAATGTAGGTTAAAAATATAAACCATTAACAGGTCTAAATTCTCATAGAAATTATGACATTAAATAATCCCTCAAATAACCTTGATAGACTTAAATAATTAGGATAGCAATATATTTTACATACTTACATATACATGTAGGAATTAGATGAAAATTGAAACAAAAAACTTATGTTTTTAAGTTATTCAAACACTAGCCACAGTTTTCGATCCTTAGCACCTTTTAATTGAGTCAAAGACATTTAGTTTTTGATAGAAGCTGTAAACTATAATAAAAAAATGCATGGGTAACAAGCATTGAAACACAAAGATTTGACCATATGTTTATCTAAATGAAAATTTGCTTGGGCTACTGTAGTACCGAGTTTGTCGTAATATCTGTACTATGTTATTGACCCTTCGTTGCATGTGACAATTGTTTCGACATGTATTTGTCATGATTTTGAAATGTGTAAATGGTAAATTAGACAGAATAAGGCCTTTGGTATATTTATTTATGTGGCCCGGTATTCAATTGTCAAGCCTTCAACCTTCATGAAACGGAAAAAAAGCCGAGTTTGGACAATGCCTCGACCACTGCAATAGACTAAGGGTCAGTTTTACAGTCATTATATGTTCTTATTTTTTGTATATAAGAAAAATGGGAAAGCAAGGTTATGTGAACGTCAATGGAAACGTTAGCTCTACTCATATCATTGTGGGGAAATTCTACTACCAGTCCTTCATCACCATAGACGAAATAGACTGAACATATCTCATATAAATTATATCGTTCTTACTACCACTGAAAAGCATGGTGTTGACTTGAATTTACATAAACGGTAATCTGATTTTTTATAAGCCATTGCTTTATTCCACTACTCACTTAAATACCTTTGAAAGACAACTGAGAATAAGGAGCTTACTTTTTAGAAAGTTTCAAATAAAAATGAATTTATCTGTATTTATAGAAAGTAATTATAGAAAGCTGCACCTAAAGTAGATTTTAAACTTTTCCTCCCAATTTATTGATGCATCAAATTTCGCAGATAATCCAACGTAAATGGATGTTTGCTAACTTTCATATAATTGTTTCTCGATTCGATAATTATATCAAGCTAGTATGTGAATCAGCCAAAATAAATTTTTCTAGTAATTGTATTAGTTCTTCGAGGCTTCTGTGCAAACACACACGCATACAATCATACAAATTTTTCCAAGCCTGAACTTTCTGGCCGGCTGTCGTTTTCCTGTATGCATCATGCCAAAGCAAGATTTTCAGCCTAATTCCAGTTATTACTGAATTAAATGCAACTGAATAAGAGATCTATTGGCCGGAAGAATGTAGGCTAAATTGGAGGAGGATAACTATCTTGAACAGTTGAAAATGATTATATTCTAAAGTAAACAGATTACAATAAACAATTATCCTCATTTTAGTCATTTATTTATCTATCTGTCATAAAGGTTTCTCAAATATCTTAAAAAGGAGTATGTATTTGCTAAGCTATACGAAGAAATAACAGGTTTCGATGAATCACTTGAGATAAAATTGTTGTGGAGGCCTTCATCTAATTCCGCTTTCTCCTGAAACGAAGAGGATGACTCAAAGACTCTGACAACTTGAACGTCATATTAAAGCCAAACGGTTGCAGTAAAATGGGAATCAGAGGTTGCCTTTAGGTCAGATCGATCTACGAATCTCTTCATCATTCACTTTAATATGAGACGAAAGTCTCCATAACATATGATGAGTTAGCCATTATCATTTATACTTATGATATATGATATAGATATGATATCCAATTTTTTTTATATGATGAAAAAGTAGTAGTTCGATTTTCCCACAATGAAATGAGTATGCCCCATGTTTCCATTGAAATTCAACCAGCATTTCACCCACACTGTATTCTCATCCAGGCTGAAGTTGACAGAAGTTTCCACTTTGCCTGGACTGATCTCATCAGCAATCCCAGCGGGACCCGAACCTTAATATTGAAGTGTATGATCTCGAAAAGTTAACAGTGCAGATATGAATGTCAAGGAAGGCCCGGCTTTTTGCTATAGCATTCGAATACACTACTTATTTCTCATCTCATAAGTAGGCTATTCGAGTCTACCAATAGACCTAATAAAAGAGCCGTATTCAACCTATTTCGTTTAAGGTGACGAATGACTGGCAGTTGAATTTCCACACAATGATGTGTGTATAAATAAATATAAAAAAGTGTGGCACATATCGCTTCTTAAAGAGAGAGGCGTTTTAAGCCGATTTCGAATACTCTCAGAAGCTCACCGCAACATGTGCATCTTCGTCGAGAGACCACCTCCCAGGCACAACCACATCTTTTGGCGTCGTATCGCTTGGCGTAGGTCTCAACAAGACGAGTGCAGGTTCGATGGTCACAGTTGCCTTGCTGTCGGCGAGTCAAATAAGAGCCCGTTTCAGAGAGGCCTACACTTTTGCAGTCCGGCCGATAGCGACTAGTGCGTACTACGCGAATGCAATTCAATGCCTCAGAGTGCGGTCTGAAAGAGATATTCTGAAAGGGAAAATATAATCCTCTTATAAAATAGCACTTTTACTAACATGCAACATTTCTCTTAGAGGTTATACAAAAAACTGTATTAAAATACTCACGGTTGGTTGAAATGGGGACTTGCTTTTGTACTTAGTTTCGTTGCGTCATGAAGTTTAAAAGGCCATTCTTAGTCCGCCTAGACCGTAATTCTACACTCAACTCATCCCCTCAACAAAAATGTACCCAAATAATTGGAGTTAGCGAGTAAAATATTATCATTCATTGTATAATGTTCGAAAATTTTGAATAAACTTCTTCACATTAAGAGAGTATTTCAGCAATGTCTAGGATACATATATAGGTCCTCGAATACACTTAAAGTTGGTGTGGAAAGACACTGTTCCGAATCGTAGGTCAGGAACCCATCAGGATCCCATCGTATGGATCCAGGAACGGATGGCTGAGCATCATCTGATGAAGTAGCGAGAAGGCTATATAGTAGCATTACAATTCACCCATTGTGGATAGATTTCAATTGAAAACTGTTTAAACTAAAGTGTACTTTTTCCTATCCAGCTAACAGAATTTATATGAGTCTATGAATTTGGGAGAGACAATTAAGATAAGCTTCTTGTTATTTGAAGTCTTCATGTTCTCAGTCTCCTCGTAGACACTTTTTCTTGCCGATTGACTCCATCTTTCTTTAATGGATAAGCTCTGCCTTGTTATTCGTCATTTTTTATGCACCGCATAGGTGCAACAATGACCTAATTAATTAACAATAATACATTTAAGAGTAAAAAGATATTAGGTCATGCCTAAACATTAGTACCAATAGTATTCATAAAATAATAACAAAGGTGTTCCTATACATCCATGTGCAACCAGATAACGTCCACGGCATAAGCTGCTCAAGTCTAGCTGTGAAAAAAATAATAAATTATTGCTGAGGGGATGAATAATGCAGCCCAAGTCTGGCAATAAAAGTGACAAACTCAATGATTATTAAATAATTGATGAAATTACCTTCACAACTAAATAACCGTCCTTGCATTGCTTGAGAACACGAGTAGCCGGACATCTGCAAGGTTGACGGGTGGACTTGCGGAAGAATGTGATGCATCTTTGCTCCTCATTGCTCCAACTTCTCTCCAGAATAATGCTCTTCCTGAACAGCTTACCTTTCTTACAATCATCCTGCTTGATTATCTTGGAAGGGCAGCCTGATTTCGAGAAGAGATGAGAAGAAGTGGTTAGTTGTTGAATGAAGACTCAGACAACGTGATATTTTTGCATGTTAATGTATTGGCAAACTTTGTTAGGGCTCGTGAAATTGGGTCATAGCATGTTCTTTTGCAGTGTAAATGTAGTTGATCGTGAGCAGCAAAATAGCACATTTAACTCAAAGCTTCTCGGAAATCATCCTCAAAAGATTTTACTAGCCTCCAGTTATAGTCACGATTAAATAAACTCAAAAACAGATTTCGAATATTTGCAAATTTTGTCACAATTTCCGAAAATTAAGAGTTGAGTATGTAAATTACAAATAAATAAATGAGTTTCTTTTAGGCATCTAGATTTTACAAGTCGAGACCCAATCTATTAGCTCAGGATGAAGCCTAGATCCGCTATTGGATTGTCGCTGATTTTAACACAAACGTACCATAATGGCCACTCTAAATTGTCGCTTAGTCTTATTTAGCACCAAAGTAGTATCGATAAGAAAGCAAATAAGCCAGAAACCCCTAACTTTCTTGTGACTAGTTAGCTTGGCTCAGCTTCAATGCAAGTATTCTTTTTAACTGTCAAATAGTCAAATATTTCATTTTTTAATACCACATTTTATCGTTCGTAGATCGAGAATTTAATGCTTAATATATCAGATTAGTTTAAATGTTTAACTCCATGGATTTCACCTGGAATATCGTCCATTACTACGTGGAAATTATTTATAATACACCTTCTCGTCTGGCCACTATAACATTATTCAAATACATATAATTGGGGAATTTACGAATCTATGGTGATGCTTCTGGAGTCTACTTCAATGTAACACTGTCATATAAGATGATTAAGTTGTTCTTGATCAGCTTCAGTCCGAAAATGCTAAGTTGCTGTCATAATGTAAAAAATGTTATACTTATATGCGTGAAAATCTTTTTGTGAGCTTGACTTATTTATCAACTTTATTGTAATAAAAAATATGCATTAATTAAATTAACCTTTAACGGATAGTAAGTAATTGTTATTTTTAAAGGTCAACAAAGCCAACTGCCATTTCTGATTAATGACAAGATACCACACTTTGGACAGCCGTGCTTTATAGTTAAACCGATGCTAGGCAACAGTTGCCTTAATTCATGAATGCACTTTCTTGAGCAAGTTCGGTAGGTTGAATAAAATG